GGTCAAGAGCTCAAGAACTCGTGCCGGCTCTTTCAGGGATGAGATCCTAACACCACACACAAGAGACTGGGGCTTCAAACACAGCAACTCCCAGGGAGTTTTCACGATAAACCACAACATGGGCTCAACGACCCCTTCTCTTGTTGTGTCTTAACAAGGACAATGTAGTTTTCAAAATGACCTTCTACAAAGGCACCAGGGAAGCAACGCCACCCGTCAGCCGCCCTGTACTTGCATGGACCATTACACTGTACGAGTGCTGCTTCCTTTGTGCCTGGTAACAAGATGGAGAATGACGGAAGGAAGAGCGGGCGGAGGAGGAAAGAGGACAGGGTAGGAAAAGAGAAAGGCTCCCACGGACATGAACAACATGCTCGAGGACTGCCATTCTACACAGACTCCTCAGCTGCACCCGCATTTGTGTGTGTGTGCCATTATCATTTCTGGACAGTCTATAAAAAGAAAAGGAGGAAGGAGAGGGGTCCAGAGAGTGGGGAGGAGGAAGAAGAAATAAGAAGAGAGAAAATAACAAAGCACCTATTGCATTTCTACATCCTTGCTGGAGTAGAACGAGCGGTCTGAGAACCAGAGCATCTAAGGTTCCCTTAGTGACATTATTATCATTTTGCTACTTGTCTATAAGTTTGAAATTATTTCAAAATAAGAGGTAGATTTCTTTAATCTTATTGGATTTTTTAAAAATTTCACTGAGATTAAAATCTGAGTCTTTTTTCACATCCTCCAAGTATATGTTATTGATACTAACATAGCAGTTGCTCAATAAAGTTTCGTTCTATTAAGAGCAAATCTCCCAGAGGCAAAAGCAAGGTTTGAAATTGTTTAAATTTCAGTGCCTGTATCTAGCTCACTTCATTCCTTGACTTTTATGGCTTACAGATGGAGATCATAACCAGAATATTTTACCAGCCATTTTACAAGGAATCCTATTTTGTTCTCAGAGTTAAAAGGCAGAAATCAACTTGAAATTGAACTATTTAAGACGAGCAAAAACTATTTAAAAGTCAGTATTCCCAAAAGGAATTGAACAGAATATACTCCTCCCAGGGAATCTTGGTCTTAACAATTATGAAAAAACTATGTCATACTCAAAATACTAGAAAGACTTTCATCACTTTTGATACTGAACTTGGAAAAGTAAATAGAATTTACTTAAACTGCAATGGGCAACAATATTAATAATATCAACATATTTATACTGTGCAGTGCTATAATTAGATTGCAAATCACCTTCCCTTCATTACCTCATCTGAGTCAAGCAGATGTGGAATTATGACCCATTCCTATGAGTTAAGAAAATTGAGAAGTCAAGACTTTTCCAAGATCACCTAATTAGCAGGTGGTAGGAATAGGCCTTGAACAAAGTTCTTCTGGCACCAAGTCTGGCTAACAGTGTGACTTTTGCTTAGCTGGTAAATAACACTCTCTAGGCGCTTTACTTCCTCATAAAGTTTCCAGAACCATCACCTGTCTCAATGTTGGGACAAATCCTTTGATTTTTTGCATGAGAATGACACTACATAGTATCCCCAGTTTGGCCTTCTCATTTCAAAGTGCATCTAAGACAAACAAGATGTAAAGGAAGCTGGCCATTCAACTCCCAATTCATTCTTTTTTAACATTGTTTTTTTTGACCAATTCACTTTAGGTACGCTGTCACCAGGTGGCAGGAGGATATCATAGAAAAATTGGTCTAAGGTAAAAGGCATGAGTTTTCCCTAAGTTTCAAGAGTGATTCCGGACTCCAGCCACCTACAATGATGTCACCTGCAATCTATAATCGGAGATTTTTCACATTTTACTTAAAAGATTCATTAAAATCACTAACATTTAAAAAAAAAAAGCAAAACCAAAACCAAAACTTCAGCAAATTTTAAATAAAGTATAAACTTTAAATAAAGCCCTTATACAAGGGCTTTTAAAAATACCTGTGTCTCTTTCTTTAATATGTACTAAATTTTCCTATAACTATCAATTCTAATTACATCTTAAACATAGGTGCTGATTGGAATATTAATCTTTATAATTCCCCCTGATTTAACTTGCTGTCAAAACTCCCAGAGTGGTTTATTCTCAAGTGCTTTGAAGTTTTAAAACCTGTAATGATTCTTTGACAAGCAGCCTCCTTTCACTTAATCCTTTAAGTCTCTCTTGGCTGTCTGAGCCAGTTAAAGGCCCAACTCTTTTTCCAGCCCCAGGTTTCACTCTCTACTGCCCTTTTCCCTGGATCAAAGTTTGTTCTTTTCACTTGCTAATATGTGCTATTTGCTGGGAGCCAGGATACTTCCCCTGTAGTTATCATCGTCCTGGGATAGAGCTGGACCACACCCACCCACTGCTCTCAGATGGCTTAGCTACATCCATTGCTTTCATTTATCTTAAATGATAGCCTCTTTGTAGATTACCTGAGCAACATGTACAAAGTAGGTTCTTCACAAACTTGAAGGAAAATTACGGAAACATCCCTCACAATAAAGCAAATGAAAACCAAAAGGTCTTTTATAAGCAAGAGCAAAGAGTAACTGCCATTCCGAGTTCAACGAATTAAACCATAAATTTTGTAACTGAGATCCATATTCAGAAATGAGTCCTATAGACTGTCCTATAAATTAAACTCTAACTTCAGCTAAGCAAGCTAAGCAACCTCTCCTGCACAGAAACTGGTGTCACTGTCTCAGGTGCACACAGAATGGAAGCTAAGAGGGGCTCTAAATCCAGACCATCCAGCTCTTAACCCTGGCTCCATTGTTTACTTGGCTACCTTCGTTGTGCCTCAGTTTCCTCGTCTGTAAAATGGAATGCTAAATTGTACCTACCCAGCATGGCTACTGTGCTAACTACATAAGCAAGTCCATTACACCAATTAGAACAGAGCTTGGCACACACACTTTAAAGCACTTAACAGAAGATACTAATCATCATTATTCCTTGTCCTTCCCTCCACTGTTCTAACTTAATACATTTAAGTCTCAAAACTTCAAAAACACAGTTGATTTATTAGCCTAAATGAATCTGCAGGTAATCTCACTCCAATTAGATTTCAGTTGGTTGGCCTGGCACACTCCGACAGCTTTTTCCAGCGTAGGCAGGACTGATGCGCCCATTTCAGTGAGGTCTGTTCACGGTTTGGAGGGACATGCTGTTTGTCACAGGGTCATCTGTATCATAAGACACTTGGCCCAGAGATTGCTTTTACATAGGAAGAGGTGCATCTGAGTGGATCTCAACAACTGTGTGATTTCACTCTTTGGGTCAGAAGATGAGGTTCTGCAGAGGTTTGAAGGCTGGGCTGGGTTACTAGCATGCACGGCCCACCATTCTAATCCACGTGCTGGGTCCCACTGATGTACTCAGGGTGTGGCAGGTGCCAGGACAGGGCTGTGCAGGACACAGAATGTGAGGTTAGGGGGGAGCTTGTAAAAACAGATGTGCAGGGGGAACCGTGAGAGCACACCTCTGTCTCAGCCACGATCAGCACAGAGTGGCATGGACAATCCGACTCCTACGCCCCCCTTTCTTTAACACACCTTCAGCGGAGCTGCAGCAAACAGGAAAGGCGGCTGCAGTTTCAGCTCTTCTCTTTCCCTTGCAAGCTCCTTGGCAAATGTGCTAATGAGTGGGAAAGTGCTCAAGTGCACCCAAAAGGCAAAGAAATGGAAGCCAGGATTCAGAGAATGAGTCTCAATCACTCAAATTTCCATATCCAGGTACACACTGCTTCCAAAAAAAAAAAAGTCCTGACAATTTCCATTGTATTTTCCTCATGATATACATTGTAATTTCACAGATGCTTTACATAAATGCTTCCAAATTTAAGTGGCCAGGGGAGAAGTCATGGATTGTTTTAAGAATATGATAAGAACTATAAACCCTCTGATCCCTAGAAAACTGTTTTTGCACATAAGTACTGACACTGACTACAAAGGCATCACCAGTCTCCTAAGGGCCGAGCATGGTGCCCTTGAGTGCATGGTCTCTGCTTATGAATTTCTTTCCAACTGCATTTGGTCAAGATTTTCAAAGGGCAAGGAATACAATATTACAGCTTTAAGTCTCTTTAATACACAGCTTTTGGGCCAAGTATTTCAAGATCAGCAAATATTTATATGAAGACTGTCTAAAATCCTGAGAAAGACCTTTGTTCGGTCAAATACGTTATTCTTGTTTTCAGGATGAAGTTTTACAGCATACTTATTTTGATAATTTACCTAATTCATCATTCCATACCTCTTGGAGATAGTTTTCTATCCTAAAGGGGCACGTATTTAAAAAGAGCAGGAGCGGTGGCTATAACATGCCTGGTGGCAGAGCTCGCCATGGGGTGCGGGGTGGGGACTGGAGCCAGCCAGCGGCACCTGCTGCTTGAGGAAGAGGGATGAAGTATCTCGATGAGGGACCTCACACCTGGCCACCAGGGGAGGAAGATACTGCTCAGAATGGCCAACTGACTGGACTCCGATTTTTAAAACTCCTTTTCAAATTAAAGTGTTACCAAGATTATCCTCTTTCTTGGAGCAACAAAAGAACACGAAGACTCTACTGGACCCACAAACCACAACTGGGGAGGGGAAAGAGTGCGGAGGCAGACAGCCTCACGGAAAACAAGTATGTGCTTATTCAAATGGAACTACGCTACAAGAGAAAAATTTGGCATGAGGGGAAAGGAAGGAAAGAATTAGAAATTAAAAAGAAGTGGCTTTCACTTGGACCTGCTGTGTGGTGTTTGTTGTGGTACTGTTCATGCACATTGTCCCATGAACAGCAGCAGTCTAGGGCTTCTGGAAAAACATTTGGGACAGTGGATAAATACCGGGTGATGCTTGTCCAGTTACAGACCAAACTAAGTGGAAGTACACTGCAACGTTCTTCATGTTCTTCCAAGTAGCAACAAAATACCTGAACCATTTTCATCCATCACAGTTACTTAAGCTCTTTACACTGTACAGTTATTAGGAAAAACACAGGGAGACAGCTTCACTTACATGGTTAATGAAGAGACTCTTGCGTTTTTCTCTCACTGTGAAAACAAAAGATGCAACAGAAATGTTACATGCCTGCATGCCAACCCCTCCCAGGTTGCTGAGGACTGGGCCCTATGTCGTGGTCCCATCCTTCCACCAACCAATGTACCCAGTTTTTCATTTACCAAATATAAGAATATGGGACCTGCACAAATGCAGATATGACCTTGGCTAACAGCAGGAAATATACGTCCACTTAAACAACAGCACCCTAACAAAATAACTGCAGCTGAAATCAATTAAGGGGTAACAGATTTCTATCAACTGAATAAAAGATTAATTAGTAAATCTCATAAAACTTGCACGCATCCATTAGTTTAATATGATTAACAAATAATAGGACTATTTATTTCTAACCCAACCAGACCCATAAATGTCCATAGCATACACGGGAAATATAAACAACAACAACAATATCCATAACAGCATTAAGGTATAGGAAGATGTTTGCTTCTCACACTGCTGTCTGCACGTGTGGCCTGCGCAGCCCAGCCCCCCCGGATCCCCCGAGCTCAGTGTTCCTCAGGACAGGAGCTCTCAGCCCCAGAGCAGCAGAAGGGTGTTGGGGAACCCGAGGAGCCTGCAGTGACCCAGCATCATCGAATTCTGCATTTTCTTTCCTGCCAAGACTCACTTTTGTGGGTGTGACACATTTATTCAGTAGTTTCTGTAGAGGACACAAAGAATAGGTTTCCTTCAAGGATGTGACATCGTAGGTCACAGGGAGCCAATAATGCTACCTCGGGCACCCTAAAAGATAGTATGGGAATCTAGCTTATCATCTGAGGAGGGTTTTTCCCCTGCAGTCCACGCCCCCAAAATAGATTCACTACCATTTTGCAAAAGCCCTCCAGGTGATCTCTTGGAGGCGCTTGTTTTGAGGAATTGTTTTCCTATCATTCATATGCTGTTCTTAGATTCACAAGGAAACATTTCTCTTTTCTGTAGAGGTCCCACCCTCTCTGGAATGACTGCTTTCCCCCTTGCTATCTCAAAGATGTTCCAGATACAAAAGCAAACACTAGTCTGAGGATACTGTCGGGTACACTGAGAGAGACTGACAGATAGAAGGTGCCTACACCAAGCCATCAGATGGACCCACGTGCAGGTGCTACTGGCCTGCTCCCGTCACAGGACAGAAGGTGAGCGCCACATGCAGAGTGCCAGGTGCCCTAGCCGCACCCGAGGCCAGCCCAGCACACACAGAGCGCAAGTGCACAGGGAGCAGTGATGGGCTGGGTCTGCCACACACAGCGTGGAGCGGGTGACTACTCTGACCTGACTCCACACAGTGTCCACAAGTGAACCGTAACAAAATGAGGGTCTGGCCAGAGGCGCTGGGTTTTAGCCTACTGGCATATATCGTCTGTGTGTGTGCGCATGCAATGCATGCATGTGGATTCACGTTCACGTGTGCACATGTATGTTTTGCTTAAATTATTTCAATACTAAACTATTATGCAAGTGGCCAAGGATCAGAGTATAATGATATTTCTATGGTGACTTCCCATTGGCTGAAGGGATATGGAAACACCTTCTACGTGGGCCACAGAGATGGCAGGGTGTCCACTAATCTCTGCAGATAACACTTAGCTCTTCCAAGAGCATCTCAGTGATAGGTTTGTGCAACAGAGACTTTGTATCTCCCGATGACGGGAACCACCTCCCATAATAAGGTCACCCTGACAGCTTAACAGCAGCCCCTGCCTCCAGCAGACAAAAGACATCTATGCCCCAAGAAATATTAGAGCTTCCTATGTGGGAACTACTGAGAAAATTAAGGATTATTCAAACATAGAAGGCTGAAATGCATAACCTTCAATAGTTTTGACTGAAAGGTTTACCAAGAGAGCTTTAATACAGCAACAACAAAAAAAACCACAGTAGACAAATGGGAATATTGTAAAAATGTACATCGCCTACAACGATCAGTCTCGGGGAGGAATCAGGCCATGTCCATGAACTCCAACTGGTTGCAGTTAGAATGGTAAAAAACAAACGTTTACTAAGACTATGACAAAACACCTAGGATAAGCTGTCCAAATCTAATACGGAATCTCTAAGGCACTCACTGCTTTTACACAAATGAACACCTACATACCATTCTAGTTCCTTCAGAGCAACTGGGCCTACTGAATCCAATCTGAAACTCAGGGCTCCCAGGTCCTGAATCAGGTGGCACTTCCCTGTACTGTTTTGTAATAGCCCTTCTAGAGGGTCCTTCGCAAGATGCAGTCTGCACAGTGTCTGAGAGGCTTTTCCACACATGCATGCCTATGACTGATTTCCCTCTGGAGTGTCTTCTGAGCCCCCAAAACCACCCCCGGTCCCTACATAGGAAGAATTCCTAATAGTCATGTTTGGACTAGGTGACCCATTTCTCTGACCATACTGCCTGGATCAGGATGGACGGACTAATTCTCTCTTCTGGGAATTTGGAGTTCGAGCATACTCGAGGTGCTAGCTCATCACCGCTAGTGCTCTCAGTAAAGGTACGTGAACTCAGGCACGGGGTGCGTGCTCATCACCTGCTGCACAGGAAAGAGTTAACACAGATCTGACCGCCATCCTTGCAAGGCAGGCCCTTGGCTGGTATCTGGGAACTTGGATTTGGGAGGGTCCTCACCACTCCCTGACTGGTGAGAGCGGCTTACTGTCCCTAAACTGTCTGCACAAACCATATGGTCTATGCCGAACATCTACTTTCCTTCTGGGAATCTGGAATTTGAGTACATACGAGACAGAAGTTTCCTACATGAGCAGCCCTCGATAAAAACCTTGGGCTCTGGGTCTCTACCAATGATCTTCCCTGGCTGACAACATTTCACAGACGTTTTCACCCCACATCCGAGACTGGGAGTAGAAAGCAGCCTGTGCGACCATGGAGGCTGTCCCTGGGTTCCTCGGGAACTCGCCCTCGCACCTTTGCCTTGTACCGATTTGCTTCGTGTCCTTTCATTGTACTAAGTTGAGGCCGTGCATACGACTGTATTTTGGGTCCTATGATTCCCCTACTGAATTACCAAACCTGGAGGTGGGCCTGAGGACCCCACACAGCTGCCATGCGGAGAAACACCAGGGAGGGGTGAGGGCGAGAAGGCTGGTGCTGCCTTCGTTCCTAAGGGCTTTTAGTGCCAAGTTCCACCTACTCATGAGGTTTCTGAGATACCCTGGTGCCCTTAAAATTAACTATGCCTTTTCCCCTAAGTTAGTCGGAGCAGGACTAAGACATTACCGTGGGGGGAGTAATAAAATAAGCAGAATCTCTTACAGTAGTGTATCACCAAAAAAGACTAACAAAATTACCCAATCTATATCTGCCTTTGAAATAAATGTGAAACCACTGAGCCTGATTAATCAGCTCTGAAATGCAAAATGCTGTAGCTATTTCATCTTATGTAATGGTACATGCAATATGCCAACTCATTCCTAATGGGTGGCTTTAATCATTTTTAAAACTTCGCTATTTTTGGTTATTAGTAACATATCAATCAAAATCTCTGGAGTTTTCTGAGTTCCTACATAATTAAGTGAACTAATAGTCATATTTTGCTTTGGTAGGAAAAACAGGCACTAAATGGATGTGGACCATAAATCTCATCTTTCCCGGGAGGAGAATAACAGCGATCTCCTCTGATCCAGTCTATGACAGTTTGTTAAGAGGATTTTTAATTGGCCATACTGATAGTCCATAATGACTTTAACAGAAAATGTACTAGAGGCTTTAAAAATAAGCCACCTAAAATCAGCAAAAACACTGCTGCTGGCATTAAAAGTCTTCTCCAGATAAAATGGGGACTGAAGAACAGAGGACAGCATTTGCAATCTGAGGTACAAACAAAATTCCACTTAAGTTGCTATGGGACACTCACTTGCCACAAAGCCACAGAAGTAAAATGTCTTTACTCCTTTTTTTGGTTTGTTTTCTTTTTTTTTTTTTTAAGAGACAGGGTCTCGCTCTGTTGCCCAGGCTGGAGTACAGTGGCACAATCATAGCTCACTACAGCTTGTACTCCTGGCTCAAGCGATCCTCCTGCCTCAGCCTCCTAAGTAGCTGGGACTACAGGTACATACCACCCCACCTGGCTATTTTTTAAATTTTTGTGGAAATAGGGTCTCACTATGTTCCTCAGGCTGGTCTCAAACTCCTGGTCTCAAGTGATTCCCCACTTTGGCCTCCCAAAGTGCTAGGATTACAGGTGTGAGCCACCACACTCACCTATTGACTCTGCAAGATAGAACTTTCTGGAAAAACCTAATTATTAATATTTGTTAACAACCTAAATGCAATTTGAGCTAGACCCCTTTTACAGATAGGCATTAAAAAAATTACCTTGGTTTCTCCTCTTCCATTTCCAAGATAAACCTTTCAATGGCAAGCATCAGCCACCACGAAGCCATACGATACTAAAACTAAGGAGGTCCTAAGGTACCATCTAATCCAACATCCCGTCTTTGAAATCGGGGAGGCATCCTGGGCAGGCCCAGACAGGGAGCGACCAGGGGGAGAGTGGACAGGGTGTGCTAGGCCCCTTCCTCTCCACCACCCGGTCTCCGGGAGCAGCATCACTGTGTGCAGCGCTCTCCCGGATCTGCATGGAATGAGTCCCGTTTAAAAACAGAGTGACAATTAGAACCTGATGTGAACAGAGCTAAGCTACTCTACAAAGAAAAGTACTTAGATGATTAATTGCTCTGGATATAATGGACGGGCAGGCCACACACACACACACACATGGCATGCTTCAACTATAACGTGAAGAATGACAGAGTTTTGTTTGGAGATGGAAAACTGATAGCTGAGATAGCAGCACCAACATACATCACAAAAATCCGGTCCAAAAGAAAAGATTTTATTTCCCTTTCTCTTTTCCTGTGGGTACCATGAATCAGACTTTGAACAATTAAAAGTTCAATATTAATTTTCTCACACTCAAGTTTGAGATTATCATGTAACTCCTACAATTTTCATTAATTCAGTGAACTCAATCATTC